TTTCAGTGGATTTCAAATTTACATTTAATACACCATTATTTGTTGCTAACTAGCATTGAGATTCCCTGAGAATATTCCTGTGCCCTATTCCAAGGTAACATTTGCTTATATTCTCCTGCGGTACTGTACCTGCTCCTACAGGACTGGAACCTTCACTGCCTAATGGAACTCCTTCAGTCTTAGTGGTGCTAGATGGTATTTGCTCCTGTGTGGATGAATGAACATGCTAAGATTTTACTGGGGAGAGACTGGGAAGCTGCTCAAGAGTTATAGCCGCCTTTTGTAATGCCCTGGTTGCAGGACCTTAAATGGTCCATTGTCACAGGTGTTTGTATGCTCTTCTGCTTGCGAGGCTTTTGTAGTTGTCTGAAATTTGCCAAGCTTTATCATCTGAGGATGGAAAAGAGTAGAAATGGTGGTGGTACCAGCAGATCTTCTACAAAGCAGAGAGGCACATCTCCCTCTTGTTTTCCTAACCAGAAATTGAAGGACATCAAGAGAACAGGAACACAGCTGGTTGGCTCTCACGTTCGGTAATGAGGGCTTGAGGTATCTGGGTTCAGGGATAGTTGGTGGCTAAATCCTGTCTATAAATACAACATTGTAAAACTATCATCATCAGAACTTTAACTTTCATTGCAGCCTGGTTTCAGCAGGCATCAACTGCCTTTGAAAACTCCTACATTTCTGGTATTTCACCCTGCCTTTCCAGTGGCTTGTACTTTATGGTTCATAGTTGGGTTATGAGGCTGTTTTGTTTCCACATGGGTAATTACCTGCCTATATTTGGTCTTTCTATACCCTCAGTGACTTCAGATTTGCAACTACTTCTCCTGAACCATAAACTGTTTCAGCCAGATTTTATAAGTAGAATTATAGCTCATCCTCCAGTGATGAAAGGAAATAAGTAGATTTTATTGGGCAATTGATATATAACTCGTCACGCTTTTCAATTTCTCGTAAAACAACATGTAGTGCTCCATGCAACAACACAGAAGTTCACATCTGTCATTCAGACATGTCAGACACCGATAACACGGATTTAAATATTTGGAACACTGCTATGTAGATGCTGTGACAGAATCTACCCCTTTATTCATTCCCTACACACTATTGAGATAATGTTTGTACAAGTTATGTCTTGTAAGGTATCATTTGAAGACTCAATTTGCTAGTCAATATTGTCCTGATAAAATGTGTATGGCAACACTGTATGTGAAGTTATAAGGTTTCCCTGTCTGATGTTTTAACATATGCTCCAAACTGAGGTTGACAAACAGGTCTGTCTCAAACAAGAGCATATGTGCTCTGCTTAATGTGCATTTAAGCAGTAAACAGAAGGGAGGACAGGAAGGGAGACAATGAGAGTTCAAACAGGTAGGAAAACCAGCAGGGAACAGCCTTACCTATAAATACTCTATCTCCTGAACCTAAGCTAGAAATGTTTTCCAAGAGGGGGACTGACACCATAAAAAGGAGGAATAAATGTGCCAAGGCATCCCCTCCTCTCTTTCTGTCCATTGTTTCACGGCATGAGAAGGGACAAAGGAAGCAGCCATTAAACAGGAGAAGAGGTCCTTGACTAGGAAGTTTGGCCAGTAAGACTGGTGAGAGCATGTGGTGAGAAAAACTCTGCTTTGAATTTAACATAGTTTGTTAAGTTTGGCATTAGTTCAGTTTTATCTTTATTTTTCTTGTAGCCATTTCTGACTTTTGTCTCATTACTTGCATTCACTTAAAATCTCTCTTTGTAGTTAATAAACTCATTTTTCTGTTTTATCTAATCCAGTGTGTTTAAATGGAAGTGTCTGAAGAACTATTTGAACTAATAAGCTGTCATATTATTACCTTCAAGAAACAACCGACTTAACATACTTGTATTGTCCAGGAGAAGGCTGGGCAGTACAGGACATACATATCTGGGGGGAAATCTGAGACTGGGAGTTGCTGGGGTCACCCTGCAGTATAACCAACGCTGGAAAGAGCTAAGGTGTGGCTGGCTGCAGCATGCACACAGACATAGCTGGGAGTGACTTGCTGGAGGCTGTTTGTGAACAGTCCAGACCGGAGGCTACAGCAGCAAAGCCGTGTAAAGGGCACCCCCGGTAAGAGGGCAGAGGTGACCCAGCTACTCATTATTCTAAACTGTGCCCTGGGTATGTCACAGATGCCCATATTGAAAATCCAACTGTGCATGTACTGGGCAACAGGTGAAAGTTTCTGCATCAGAAGATACAGGAGCAAACCTTTTCTGTTACAAGTATAGGGTAAAAATGCATATGCAGAGGCTGCCAAAGTCTTGGCTGGCAGGGGCTGTCCTAGGGAACCCCTTTAAAAGGCAGAAGCCGTGCAGCCTCATGCTGGACTCCTTTTCCTAAGTAACTCTGTGAAGCTAGAGTGGGGGGTGATTTTGTATTTTCCATCCCCATCTAGCCCTACCCACCACCAACACAGGGCCGCCTACTCCCTGCTAAGTTCCAATGCTGCAAAGAGTCCTCTGTGGGCACTGACATAGTGGTAGCTGAACTCATGTACAGGGAGTGGGTGGAAAGAGACACCCATGCTTGGATCTTTGGGGACAATCTGACCCTATGAGAGGATCAGTGGACGGCAGCATAAGAGCACGACTGAAATAACCATCATCAACATCACAATAAGACCAAGGCACAGTGCTTAAAATACCATGAAAACAACCAGGCAGATAGTGGGGCAAAGGCCAAAGTGACTTCACCAGGACAGAGAGGAGGAAACCTGACATGGGGAAAAAAACAGGGGGGAAGGGAAGGTTATAAATATGGGGCTGACTGTGGAGATACCAAAGCACACTCTGGGGAGAAGAAGCCTTTAGCTGTTGAAAAGCATGAGGAATGGGCTAAGACTGATGCCAGTCAGATATAAGTTCCATACTGTAAGGCCCACTGCAGCCAAGGCATGCCCTCCTGCTGACTGAAGCCAGGAGGAATCCTTGAAAGACTGGTATCTGAGCTGAGGTTGACCAAAAAGGATCCCTCGGAATATATCCAAGTGAAGAGATGCATCGGACAGGTTCTCATTTCGACGCATAGCAAAGCGACGTACTCCTCTTCCTGAGTGTTAGCAAATATATTTTCTATTTATCGGAAGTCCAGGTAGGACACAGCGAATGCCATTTTCCTCACTCTGTCCCTTGCCAATATTCCTCAGCCCAGACCTGGAGGGACCACCGCTAGGAATGAATGCTGTGCTCAGTTTCCACATTCAGTTTCCACAGTCTCTGGGGCCTCTCTGTTGAGACTGCCAACAAGGGGACCAATTGTGGTAATAGTTTTTGTTATATGGACACCAGATTGTTTCACATAGACTGCTAGTCAAAAAGCTTCAAATGGCAACAACGTCTGATTCTGACTGACCATCGCTGGATTTGAACCAGTGACTAAGAGGTGAAGTTGACAGACTCCATATCCCAATTTCCAATCTCTTAAGCCATCCGCTCCCCTACGAATAATGTTTAAGGCTCCTCTTCCCTATGATCTGGTGGTTAGCGCCTAAAGGAAAGTTTTCAAAGCAAAGCTTCTAACGTATATAATGCAATTCTGCAGTCAACACTGGCCTAAGAAGTCATGCACATGTGCAACGCCAATTGGTTTAGGTTGTGGTTCCTCTACGGATCAGACCGCAGGAACTGAGCCACAGTCTGAACAAAATATAATGACCCATGTTGTAATACCATCTCGAACGGTCAAGAACTTTGCAAACTAATCAAAAAACGTCACCCTCACTACGTGCATTCTCACACTAGCGCCTGAGATGGAGTCCATGTCTAACAGCTGCAGCACAAAAAAATCCATCAATACTGACCCTTGCTCCCAGATTCCAGTTAAACCCCGTCCTGCTCAGCCATTCACAACCTTTGAGATTATTTGGACTACTCATTTTTACAATAAAGTCATTAACGAGAAATTCATGAGACAAGCTGTTCAGAAAACCCAAGGCAACATCTGAGCAACACTGGGTCACAGAGATTGATTAATGCGTTTATTAGCATTTGATTAGATTAAGCTAATAAACTTCTTGTGTTTACGTCGACCTCCTGCAAGTGAATTAAAACACACTTACCATCCACCCCATTGCTAAGCCACCACCTGCTCCCTCTGCATGACAACTAAAGTACTGTCCACGCTATCCCCAAGCCAGCACAACCCATGGGCGCTACTGCTTTGGCAGTTTCATAATGAAGATTCTTATTATGAGGGTGAAATGAATTATCTTAAATATTAAGACCAAAGGACCAGATTGACAAAGATATTTGGGCGCCTAAAGATGCAGACAGGTGCCTAGCAAGATTTACAGAAGTGCTAAACTGATTAGCGCCTAACTCCCCCTGAAGTCAAATCCCACCAGGCACCTATTTGCATCTTTAGGCACCTAAACACCTTTTTAAACCCAGTCCCAGATCCTTAGCTGGTGTAAACCGGGGTAGCTCCATTGAAGTCACCAGCTGAGGAACTGAAGCTAAAAGTTTGTAGTGACATAGTGGCAGAGGCATTACTGTAGAGATGGGGATTAGACTGGGATTGAACAAGGATAATAATACATAGCACTTACTTTGGGGCCTCACTCTTCCACCTTTACTTATACTGATTAGGACCTTATTAGTGAGTATTCCAATTGAAATAATCAAAATTGTCTGTAAACTAGGGTGCTACACACTTTAAGTAAGGATGGCAGAGAGCTAAGGACCCAATCCTGGGAGGTGTTGGGCGGCCTTCAGCATCTTGCAGGGTTGGTCCCCAGCGCCCATATTTTCAGAGCGCTGGGCATTCACAGATCCAACTCATGTCAACCGGCCCTGTGAGCACCTCTGAAAAAAAATCAATCCATAATTGACTAGCCTAGGGTCACAGGAGGGAGTGTCAGAGACCGGACTAAACTGCAGGCGATTCACGGTGAGCTTACATGCTGGGAGCAGTGCCTGTTTTAAACCCATAGCCAACGCAAAGCTCTATTACAAATGCTCTTACTCTGACTCTTCCTCCTTCTGCTCCTTCAGGCTCTCAAGCAGAGACTCCTCCAAGACTTCCAGCTCCTCTAAAGGGATTCTCAGCAGCCAAGTGACATGGCAGATCAGCACCCTCGCTCGGGCATCGTAATAGCCTTAAATAGATGGAAACACAGGGAATCGATCAATTTTAATCAGATCAGATCAAACAGCAAATGTTGCACTCTGCTCTGGGTGGTGACTGTTTATACAGTACCGAGATAGCATTGTCTATCCTTTCAGTTCATGCCAGCATATCCACAGATTTGGGAGAAATGAGGGCTCACCAATTAGAACATGGTAAAGCACAGGACTGTGAATTCATTAGCTTCATTGAAATCAACGGACCTGGGCCGATTTATAAGAGCTGAGGATCAGGACCTCCGTGCCCACCTAAGTCACCTTATAGTGAAGTATTCCGTCCCACAAAACTCCTCACTGTCAGCAGAGATTCACTATAACAGGCGAGTGCCTACGTGGCAAAGAATCTCCCCCCCTTTCACTGCAGGAGTTGGGGCAGGCCCTCGCTTCACCCTCTCACTGTTGGTAGGAAGCACTGGCAGTTGTGGAGAGGTGGGTCATAACTTCATTCCCAGCAGGGAGAGGCTGCAGCAAGACCAGTGCCAAAAACAACGTGAAATAGACGCGTGGGGAAAACGAGGCAGCTCCCAACATCTAAGTGACAACGCAAGATTTATTAGCTTGGCTAAATGCACCTCCAGATATAAGCTTTACATTCAGTGCTTCTCATTTGTTATAACAGGGAGACTGGAGTTTAATAATAAAAACAGATCTAGTTACAAGCTAGCTTTGGTATATGTATATTGCTGACAGCTGTTTGCACTTATTCTTCCCTGCATGAGCTGAAGGAATGGACAATTCAATCTGACAGCATTCACTGGTAAAAAGAACGAGGCGTACTTGTGGCACCTTCGATTTACTCTGGGGCGCTAAAGAAAAAGATATTTTAAGCAGATTAGATTTTAAACACTTTGTGTCAGATCTACTCCTTGTCCTGTGCACATCTCCAGAGCATCGTTCTCTTGTTTTCGTAACTTATTCTGGGTGCACTCTGGCATGAAAGATGGCATTGCATTTTAAGGGTGTGCGTGTGAAGATACCAGCTTGAAACATCTGGCAAGTCTGTGAGAGACCTAATATGGAGATTGCACTTCACGGACAGTTGTTACCTAATCTAAACAGAAAGGTTATTTATCTAACCCCAATCACTATAGGATCCGAGCATGTCACAGTCTTTAATTATTTATTCTCACAATATCCCCATAAGGTAAGGAAGAATTAGTAGCCCCATTTCACAGACGGGAACCCGAGGCACAGAAAGACTAAAGAGCTGCATAATGTTATGAGTAGGGCCCTACCAAATTCATGGTCTATTGAGGTCAATTTCACAGTCATAAGATTTTAAAAATAGTAAATTTCATGATTTCAGCTATTTAAATCTGAAATCTCAGTGTTGTCATTGTAGGGGTCCTGACCCAAAAAGGAGTTGTGGGGAGTCGCAAGGTTATTGTAGGACGGGTTGTGGTACTGCTACCCTTACTTCTGCGCTGCTGCTGGTGGGGTGCTGCCTTCAGAGCCGGGCGCCTGGCCAACAGCCGCTGCACTCCAGCCGCCCAGCTCTGAAGGCAGTGCAGAAGTAAAGGTGGCAATACCACAATCCCCCCCTAAAATAACCTTGCGGCCCTCTGCAACTCAGTTTTGGGTCAGGACTCCCAATTTGAGAAACTCTGGTCTCCTTCGTGAAATCGATATAGTATAGGGTAAAAGCCCACAAAAGACCAGATTTCACGAGGGAGACCAGATTTCACGGTCCGTGATGCGTTTTTCATGGCTGTGAATTTGGTAGTGCCTGAGTTACGAGCACTGACAGCATCTGTAGTTACCCAGGCTCAGTTGCCTGACCCAGGATTCACTGGGATGAGATACATAAACATTTTTGAGGATCTGGGCCTAAGTGACTTGCTGAGGTCACACAGGAAGTCTGTAGCAGAGCAGGGTCTCAGGCTACTGCCAGAATCATGGCGCCATCCTGCCTCTCTGCTAACTCACAGCTTGGTTTCTGCTTTTCCAGCACAGGGATAAATAAACTTGCGAGGCGATGACATGAAAATACTACTTTGTATTATTTCAGAGGGATGTAATAACCTTTCTTGTAATAGCTGCCTAACTTTCCAGTTTTCCATTAAAAATAAACTGAGAAAGCCAATGAAAAAAAGCCACTTTGTCCTGAGGTGGATGAGGCATAACAACAATAAATTAACTTCAGTCCTGTGCAAAGGTGAATTGAAAACACCGTTGCCAAGTGCAGCCATTGATCTGACATGAAGACTTTGCTACAGTTAGGCATTCTTTATAGCACTAGAAATTTCGTTCTAGTAATTTAATCCACCTCCTGGATTAAAACAAAACATTCGCTTGTTAAAGAAAACAAAAATATTATCATTTGTTCAAAATAGGCTTCACAGAAGATCAAGAATTTATTCCCTGGACAGGTCGCCAGTACTTGAAGTAATTTACAGAATAAATAGTTTAGGCTGAGATTTTCAAAATGGCCTGATTGACTTTCAGTGGGAGTTGGGCACCTAAATTCCATAAGCCTCTTCCGAAAAAAAAAAATCATTTTAATTATTTAGCTTCAGAACTTTTCTGACACCGGACACATTGGCATGTTAAACCATGATGTAAAGAAGTTTGTAGGATCAGGAGATCACAAAGCAGGACAGATTCATTAACTGCAGGTTACTATTAAACATTTATATTACAGAACAAAAATTGGTTTTCTTGAAGTTAAAGTAGGGAAACAGTGTGCTGCTGACATTAAAAGAACGGAAATAACATTATAATAGGTGGGATGGTATATTCACCTTTGGAATAAGATTTTGTTTTACTGTGTGTGACGTCTATATTATAAAAGCTCATTAAAAACAAAGAAGAACACTCACCATCCTTAAGAGAGAAGGACACAAGATCCTAAAACAAAAACATGAAACAAGTAAGTTAAATTTGATGGCATTTTACCCAAAAATCTAAAATAAAATAATGAATTAGACATACACTATAATTGAGTGATTTCAGCATGTGAGTATATGAATAGGAGAAACCATGGTGGATCATTTCAGTAAAACAGTATATATCAAAGCCAGATGCTTTAAACCCAAAGGTATCCATACCCTGCTATATGTAATTGGGCAGAAATAGTCACCCGCAAAGTGGGAGAACAATTCACTTATGTATAAAGGAGCAGTGTGTAAATTTATCACAGATTATCATATCACCATCGGATTGCACCAACCAATGATACAGGGCTTGTGAATCTGGAGATGTGGGTTCTGTCTCTACCACAGACATGCTGTGTGACTTTGGTCAACTCACTCAGGTCCAGATTTTCAACAGAGGTCTCCAAGTTTTGGATGCCTAAATTGAAGCACCTTAGGCCTGATTTTCAGAAGCCCTGAGCTTCCATAACTTTAGCTAAAGTCAATGGTAGCTACGGGTGCTCAGCATCTCTGAAAAACCAGGTCTCTCATGGTAGGTTTACACTGCAGTTAAAAATGCATGGCTGTTTAATTGTGATGTAGACTTTTGGGCTTGGGATTCTGAGCCCGAACATCTACACCACAATCAAACAGCCCCTTAGCCTGAGCCCCGAGATCCAGAGTCAGCTGACACGGTCCAGTCGTGGGTGTTTAATTGCAGTGTAGACATACCCTCAGGCTGAGCACCAGAACTGATGGCCACTTTTAAAGATGTTTGAATTTAATTTCTCGGGCCTCAGTTTCCACATCTGGAAAACGGACAGAGTAATACAGGCCTTTCACATATAGGCTGTGAGGATTAATTATGAGCTTAGACGGAGGGTGCTAACGAAGGACAAAGTGCTGTTGTTATGACTATGTTCTCCTTTTGTTTCATCGCTCACAATGTTTAAGGTTGTGTGCAGACACAGCATACAGCATACATGATTCAGTCGACAAGCCTCTCTCTTGCCCACCAGGAAGACATTGTGAAGAAAAGCCAGAAGTGTGCATGTTTATAGGGAAAATCTGGAATCTCTTTGGAAATGAAGAGCACAGCTGAAGAACCAGGCTGCTGCCAGGGAGTTTATGATTATTAGTCCCCCTGCGCCTAAGCATAATTTGTGTCCTAGAAACTCTTCCAACCCTCTTTCCACTCCCGAGTATGGGAAATCTGAAATGGTGAGTGAGCTGCTCTTAGCCAATTGCTAATGCAAGAGGGGGAAAATATAGATACTCCCGAACCCAGTGTAACTCCTTGGACTCTGTAATATTATTCCCAGATGGAGAAGGTTCTGCAGTATAATTCAGATGTGCGAATCAGTTACATGAATACAGATGGAGGAAGGAACAACTGGCAGCTAGGGGAGCTGAGGGATAAGAAGGGAGTGACGGGAGGTACTGAGACTTGGTGGAGGGGAAGGGCAGATGGCTCCAGCCTGGGAAGGAGGATTCCCGGTGTTCATATCTGTTTTTGAGATGTTCCAGACCCCCAAGGTCCCTCTTCCTGCTCCCCAGCCTAATCCCGGACCCCAAAGTGGCCACTCTAACCCCTCTGGGTCACGCTCTCGCCTACCCCAGACATGCAGGAGTTTATGCAGGAGTGGAGCCACCCCACAGCGTTTCCCAGTTCTGCCACCCCTGCAGGAATAAACAGACTGGGGAAAAGTCTTTCACGGAAGAACAGGCAAACAGGTGTCAATTTACTTTAAAATCTTTACACATAATTTAAGTGAATGATCAACATTGTTCCCAGCCATCATTTCCAAGTGGATGTTACCCGCTGACCCAGAAAAGAGAAGGACTTGGGCAGCAAACTCTTGGGGTGATTGTTGCGGGATAACAATTCTTGATAGGTTTGACCTAGATGGGAAGCACATTCAATTGGCAGAAGTGGCTTCAATGGGAGTTGTGGGAGGCTCAGCGTTTTTTAAACTAAGGCCACTTATTTAGGTGGCTAAATATGGAGCTTAACTCCAGGCACTCATTTTTGAAACTGTTGGCCTGTGAGTTTAGAGGACTGAAGCAGGTCTCAAAAGCCGAAAGGTGGGTGCAGATATTCCGACTGACTGAGAAACTGGGGCTAATGCTTATATTAGATGCTATAGGTGTGCCCACCTGTTTCTAATTGTCTCAGACTTCGAACTACACTTGGGTGTGCTGTCAACTGGAACAAAACAAGTATCGATTAGTTTAGATCAAAAATAATAGTCTGTTCTTTCTCTCCCTGTCTCATCAGCAGTTTTGTTTAGATGATCTACAAAAGAAAAATGAAATTGGCTTTGTGCCCTTGTTTGCTTCTTTATGATGTATGAAGTTGGCATGAGAGGCTCTTTTAAACAGTCTTATAACGGCTTGTTTTTTACATTTGAAATTCACGTCCTGCTTCTCCTGTAAAACTCTATGGACAACTAGAGCAGTGGTTCTCAACCTTTTCAGAGTACTGTACCCCTTGCAGGAGTCTGATTTGTCTTGTGTGCCCTCAAGTTTCACCTCACTTAAAAACTACTTGCTTACAATATCAGACATAAAAATACGAAAGTGTCATAGCACACTACTACAGAAAAATTGCTTATGTTCTTATTTTTACCATATAATTATTAAATAAATCGACTGGATATAAATATTGTACTTACATTTCAGTGTACAGTATATAGAGCAGTATAAACAAGTCATTGGCTGTATGAAATCTTAGTTTGTACTGACTTCGCCAGTGCTTTTTATGTAGCCTGTTGTAAAACTAGGCAAGTATCTAGATGAGTGGATATACCCCCTTGGAAGATCTCTATGTACCCCTGCTTGAGAGCCACTGAACTAGAGACCTAGTAGTTATGTGACACCACAGATGCCAAACTTGTGAAAACCGATGAAGAAAGGGAAGTGATTTTTATTCAGACTCTTTGGATTTTGTATATTTTTGTTAAAACTTATTTAACCCAAAAACCCAATAAACAGCTGGAAGAAAAGTTGTTTTGTTAAAGATTCAACACCCTTTCCCCAACAACAGAGCGCTTCTAATCCACATTTCAGGGTCACCCAAGGGAGGTCTCTTGAAGAAAAACAGGGTAAAACAGACATTTTAGATATTTCTAAGCCAAAAGTCAAGCAGGAGTAACAAGTTTTCAGCTCTTCTTTACATACCAAAAAGAAACAAAAAAGGGCACAAGCTCATTTTTGCCCTTTCTTCAGGTCACCTTTAATAACTCCCTCTTTAAAACGTTTACTAGCAACTTTAAGTTCCTTACAACAACAAGATTATTTAAATACATTCCAAGAGAGAGTTTACTAGTTTTCATTGACAGTTTATTTTTACCGAGCTGTTTTATGTGTGCAAAGCAATCTCCATTCATAGCATTGCTGCTGTTTTACTTGCCAGAGCTAACTGTCCTTAAAAGATTCAGCTTACCAACACTCAACTGCATTAGTCACTCGAAATGAACATAAATAATACCCATAATCCTCAAGATTTCACTCAATCAACAGATTCTGCTTAAGATACACCGTGAAGATGGGGAAGAGTGCTAACGACATTGATAAGAATCAGCCTCTCTCCTCTCAGATTCAAGGAATGGGGAGAGACATCAGAGGGTTGGGAATTTAAAAGCAGAAGTGTAAGAAAATTAGACCGGGAGAAAAATACAGCATTCAGAACCGACAGCAGAAGATGGCCTTTAATCTGTAATATCCACAAGAACATGTGTCTTTACAAGCGTCAAGATATGACTTATGTTCAGTCCTCCCTGCCACTTCACAACAAAGAAAAGAAAATCTCAGCCCTGGGCAGACTGTGCCCAATGTGCAACAGAAGGTAAAAAGAAGTACTTCTGTACATCCCCATAAACCACTCAGCTACCTGCCTTCATGAATCATTCCTTCAGCATCGTTGCAGAACAATTATTAGGCAACCATCTTAAAAAAGCACACGCCGTAGCACTAACAGGAACTTGTCACTGAATTCCAGAAGTCTATGGTTATCAGAACTCAATCAAACAAATCATAAAAGTGAAGTGAGTACGTGCAGGCTACAGAGACAACAGGAAAGCACAGAATGGCTGGATAAAAGCAGTCAAAGGTTTGTCTCTTAGATTGTTTACCTTCAAGTCACAAGGAAACGCTGATCTCAGTTTGAGTATATGGTGGTTCCCACCCATCAAAGTGTTTTGCCAGCTACATCAGAAAAAGCCTCAGGTGCATCAGTGACCTTTTCCCTATATAATTCCTCATGTGAGCTATGGGTACGTCTATACTACCTGCCGGATCGGGGATCGATTTATCACGTCTCGTCTGGATGCGATAAATCGATCCGTGAATCGACGCCCATACTCCACTTTGGCAGGAGGAGTAAGCGGAGTCGATGGGGGAGCCGCGGCAGTCGACTCGCTGCCGTGAGGACGGCCAGGTAAGTCGAACTAAGATACTTCGACTTCAGCTACGTGAATAGCGTAGTTGAAGTTGCGTGTCTTAGTTTGAACCCCCCCGCTAGTGTAGCCCAGGCCTATTTCAAGAAGTTCAGCTGTTCTTCCAGTGAGGAAATACAACTACTCTAAACCTTGTCTCAGAAACACCGAGAGAATCAGTAGCTAAGACTCCTATATTCTACTGTTCTCTTTGAACCAAAGACACAAAGTCCCTGGACATTCAAGAAGAGTCTCTGTTGTACACCCCTGAGCGACATAAGTTATGCTGACAGAGGCTGTAGTGTAGACATCGCCTTAAAGTAGGTATGTATGCTTCCTTTAAGACCCTTTACACTGCCTGAGCTGAGTAAAGGGGCCTAAGTGTAAATGAGAATCAGGCCCATCATGTCTAAGGCCGGGTCTACACTACAAACTTACATTGGTATAAGTATGTTGCAGAGGCGGATTAACTATGCCAATGGGAGAAGCTCTCCTGGGTGGCGAAGTTGTGTCTTCACTAAAGTGTAGACCTGCCTAAAGTGTTCCACTGATTTCAGTCAAATGTAGATGGGGAGGAGGAGAACAGAGCAGCAGTAGTATGGTAGCAGTGAAAGGGTTAATAGTTTTCCCTTTAGAACGAAGGGCTCTATGCACTGGGCGTACAGCACATTTTGAAGCAGAGAAGGTATCAAAGACTCTAGGCGTCACTTATTCAGTGGAATCTAGCCAGGTCAGATGTCTAGCACTCACACACTATAGGGATGGATGGATGAATGAATGGAGGGGTGGAAAGTCAGTCACTTTATTCGCCGCCCTCCCACCCCCGTTGTTTATTTTTAAACAGAAGGTAACCTGCAGTTTTAAATACATATAGAATTAGGATTTACTATGCCCAATACACTAGAAAGAGAATTTCAACAACAGACAGGCAGCTCTGACAAGGCCTTTATCCACAAGCCCAATGTAAGGCCTGGTCCACACTACCCCCCCACTTCGGACTAAGGTACGCAAATTCAGCTACGTTAATAACGTAGCTGAATTCGAAGTACCTTAGTCCGAACTTACCGTGGGTCCAGACGCTGCAGGCAGGCTCCCCCGTCGATGCCGCGTACTCCTCTCGCCGAGCTGGAGTACCGGCATCGACGGTGAGCACTTCCGGGATCGATTTATCGCGTCTAGACAAGACACGATAAATCGATCCCAGAACATCGATTGCCTGCCGTTGGACCTGGAGATAAGTGTAGACGTACCCTAAGAGGGGAAGGGATGAACTTACTTGCGTAATGACGACTGGATTATTTGCCAAGACAGGATCCTTCAGTAAAATCTGAGCAAAGGTTTCTGCGCCCTCGTCACCCAAACCGCTGGTGAACGCAGTCATGGCAGGCAAGACGGCGTCTGACAACTCAAGCCATTTCACCAAGCCTTCAATGAACTCCATCCTAAAGGCGCTGCATGACAACACAAGCAATACGAGTCAAACATTCATCATTTCCTCTTTCCTAAGTCACCTTCATTTTAGACTCCAGGTAGGATTTGAAACGCTGATTAAGAGGCATTCAAGGCCCAGCCTTAGTCTTCAGCTTCTCCGCTTCAGTTTATTAAAGAAAGACGGTGAAAGCAAAGAAAATTTTTTTTGTAGGGATATAAAAAATGCCCTGGGCTGTCAAGCGAAAGTTTTACATCACTGTTTAAAGGTGACAGTGTGGTCTGGATGTTAGAGTGCAGGACTACAAGTTAGCACTGCTGCATTGCAATCCTGGCTCTTTCATGTCACCTAGGACAAGTCACTTAACCTGTCTGTGCCCCTCTCTGTTTTAGGAAATCGAAACACTTGGATTCTTCACAAAGGTGGTGCAAGACATAATGTAATGCATGTAAAGCAGTGGTTCTCAAAGCTGGTCTGCCGCTTGTTCAGGGAAAGCCCCTGGCGGGCCGGGCCGGTTTGTTTACCTGCCGCGTCCGCAGGTTCGGCCGATCACGGCTCCCACTGGCCACTCCAGGCCAATGAGAGCTGCAGGAAGTGGCGAGGGCTGAGGGATGTGCTGGCCACCCTTCTCGCAGCCCCCATTGGTCTGGAGCGGCGAACCGCGGCCAGTGGGAGCCGCGATCGGCCGAACCTGTGGACGCGGCCGGTAAACAAACTGGCCTGGCCTGCCAGGGGCTTTCCCTGAACAAAGGGCGGACCAGCTTTGAGAACCACTAATGTAAAGCACTTTAGAGATCTTTATTGATTTTTCTTGGCCTTTCACCGGGCCTTACTTTCAACTTCTAAAGATCTCTAGTTGTTCACACAAAAATCAAACCACCAATGAAAAGTCAGCAGAGGTATCTGAACATGATCAGCCTTTTGTGTAGGTAAGGAAGCAGTCTGGAGTGGACAGTACCATTAAGCTTTGTAGGCCTGGGGCTTGGCATCAGCAGTGTTAAGAGACTCACTTTGCAGTGAAGCATAAGGAAATTTTAGATGTAAAGTAAAGTAAATATGGTCAAGAAAATAACCAAGAAAACCCCTAATATCAGTCTTAGGCTGTATATCTCTCCTTACTGTTCCAATGCGCTATGGAAGCACAAACTCAATACGAATAATACTGTTACATTTCAGAGGCTCTGGCTGTGGGAATCACAGAGAAATTGGGTTTAAAACAGCTGAAAATATAAGTCAAGACCTGCATTTTCTTCCCTGCCAGAAATTAACATTGTCTAGGCATCAAACATAAAGAAATGCTTATGACTTGTAAGCTCTGTATTGACGTTCTGGGATATGGGCTCCCCTTGTGAGTTGCCGCGAATGGGGATGGGAGTAAGTGGCATGCTCACAGGGAAGAATAGTTAATCTCTGTCTCTGTACCAGCAGAATGCAATGCCCGCTGTCCTGACCCAGGATCTAAAGACACAACTGAGGCAGCCTGATAGTCCAGGACAGGGGTGGCCAACCTGAGCCTGAGAAGGAGCCAGAATTTACCAATGTACATTGCCAAAGAGCCACAGTAATATGTCAGCAGCCCCCATCACTCCCGCCCCCCACGCCTCCCACCCACTGGCAGCCCCGCCGCACCTCCCAATCAGCTGTTTCGTGGCGTGCAGGAGGCTTGGGGGCGTGGGAGGAGCGAGGGCATGGCAGGCTCAGGGGAGTGGGCGGGAATGGGTGGAGTGGGGGCAGGGCCTGTGGCAGAGTCAGGGGTTGAGCAGTGAGCACCCCCGCCGCCCCCCCCCCCGGCACATTGGAAAGTTGGCACCTGTAGCTCCAGCCCCGGAGTCGGTGCCTAGACAAGGAGCCGCATATTAATTTCTGAAGAGCTGCATGTGGCTCCGGAGCCCCAGGTTGGCCACCCCTGGTCCAGGAGACTAAGGGAAGATTTGTTTCCATGTTTTATTCGCGGTTGTATGGTGTATTCGACACTGTAAGGAGAAAGGGTAAAATTTTCAAAAGTGCCAACGTGACTTGTGCCATTTTCCCATTTTCAAAAGAGATTTAGGAGCTTAAGTCTCATTAAATGCCTTAGGGCTTGTCTACGTGGGGAAAGAACTATAGTGCTGTAGTTATACAGGTATTCCACCCCATGCGCACATGCTTATAATAAAAGACTGTCCACACTAGGAGTTACACCTATAACTATAGCAGTATAACCATAGTAGCACAGTCATGACAGTACATTTCCCAGTGCAGACAAGCCTTGAGATTTAAGCGCCCAAGTCACTCGGGCACTTCCAAAAATTCTACCCCAAATCTCTTTCATGGATGCCCAGCTGATGCACATTTTCTTCATTTTGAGAAGATCTATAGGCATTTTGCAGGATCCGGGTAAGTGCAACCTCTTTGATCAGAAAAAATACAGGCCACTGTTATCTTGGCCATGACAAACTCCTGCAAGATTTCACTGGGGAAAGCTCACAAGAAAGCTTTTTCCTGTAAGATTTCAGAGAGATCACAGGCTCGGGCCTTTCCTGAATCAGGGATGTACCTTCAAAAGCAAAGGATCTGAACCTGTGTGGAACCTCAATTCCCATAAACTTCAGCACCTCAAAGGAGCTGGTCTAAAACCTCTGATTTAACCAGCCTGCCCCATGGCATACTTAAGAGTCCTCTTCCTTGGCCTTTGGAAAGACAGCCTCATGCCACCACTAGAGCCAGCATGGCGCTCTTTTTCTATATAATCTAATCTATCCCACGCACATGATTGGCGTGTTATCAGAATCTGTCTCAGCTACTGCACAAAATCTGCTTTGTGCACCATCCTACCTTTGCTCCTTTTCAGGAAACAAGCAAGCCAGAGATATCCCACAGAGAGCTGCGTATGCAAACCTTCCTGGTTCGCCCAGCTGTTTGCCCACAAGCTCACACGGCTCCTTTGCATCCGTCTGTTCAGCCATCCTGAGTCGTCTCCAAGCCCACCTGCTCCACTTCTGTTCCTCGGCCATTCTCACCTGTCATTTCAAAATAATGAAAAAAACAAAGGTATGTGAAAGTACTGAGGAAAGTGACTGATAGATTTTCCTTTCCAGTGATTGCACTTCCTGGCTCTGTCTTTGATTGAGTCTGCCAAGGGCAGCCTTGTGTGTTTACCCAATGGTGTGACATTGTACAAAACACACTCAATGTGGCTTCAGGCTTCACCTTGTCTTCACCTTCAACAATTATCAAGTGTTTCCATAATACAGTTAATTATTTACACTTTACACAACAGATCAGAAATCCACTTCAAGCTGCAAAGGATCTGGGCTCATTGAATACTAATGAAGCATATGCCTCACACAGGCAAACCACTAAATTAACATGTAGTACAAAAGCCCTGCCACTTATCACAATGACTAATTTATTGCAGTCTGGGAATTTATACACCCGCCCCTCCCCAAAACCAAATTACCCCTCTGTTCATTATGCTGGAAGCATTTTATTCAGGTAAGAAAGTTCAGCTCAGAAGCAGTCTCTGATTAAAGGGAAAACTTTTGTTTTCTAATGGACTTTCCTGTTGCGATTATTGGATTTTCTACATCCCATCCTGCTTCCTATACTCTGCTCAAGGCTCATTCTTCACTGCTCCCTTTGCATCCTTTGTCCACTGCCAGCTCAAGTCTGCTTGGCTCAACCTCCCAGTACGTGTTTCCTCAAAATAGTCTTGCGCTGGCCCTCTGCACAGGGATAAATTTCTTCCTATATTCTCCTTGCTCCTCTTTCAAATCCCCCATCTATTACCCCCAATTCTCCCACCCACCTGTTCCACAATGCTTATGTGTGTTGATTATACACACACCCCCATTGTGTGCTCTATGTGTTAATCATAACATACCTATTTTTGCTTTTAAGGTCCAGTCCCACACCCAGTTAAGTTGATGGGGGTTCTGCTACCAATTTCGTCAGCGGTGATTTCAGGATCAGAGTTTGTAAGATTTGTGGTAGCAGGAACTTTTGTTCTGTTTTGATATATGCAACTTTGCTACCGTAATGCTTTAGGCACATCTATGCTGCTAGAGAAAGGAGGCTAATAATTTTGGCAATAACCAGAACAAAGGAAATCATAGAGTGGTGTAGATTTTCAAACATTTAGGGTTTTACCATAACAATGGTAAAAGGGTGGGTTTAGATATGCAAATAGGCTTTTAAACCGCCAAACAACGCATTAGGGCCCTGATTTGGCAAGAAAGTTGTATTCTTGCCTGCACTTAAATTCCTAGCTGGGTGCTACCTGCGGCTAGGTGTGCCAGTCAAGGTGTGAAAAATGTTCCCTCTAGGTATGCATCACGTTGTGTGTGCTGGGCAAGGCATGAAGGGCCTGATTCGAAGCTCATTGGAGTCAATGGAGAGACTCCCATTGACTTTACCAGGCTTTGGGTGAGGATCTAACTGGTCCAGGGCAAGCTTTAAGGCAGACTGCTGTGGCTAGCATTAATCAGACTAGGAATTTCAGAGTGGGCAGATGTGCACAGACAGCATCCATGTGACAATTTCTCATAAAGGAGTGCAGAATGGGACCAATCACCATGGGTGGGGTTGGGAAGGAATTTCCCCCCAGGACAGTGACCTTGGGGGTCATTTGCTAGGACCATATCGGTACATCTCACCTAATCAATTCTCTGCCACTGCAGGGGCCTCAGGTAATGGTGCACCTCGGTTTATCCTATTCTCTGCCTGTGGCACACAAGAGCGTAGTCTGTTGAGGGCTGCAGTACTTTGGTCTAATTCCAGATGTTGGGTTTAGCGTGTGGGTGGCTGGGTGGTATTAGAGGCCTGTGATAGACTGGTCTAACTAGATGACCTGACGGTCCCTTCTGACCTTAAACTCTCTGTTTAAAAAGAATCATTCATTAATCAGTATCCCAAGGCAGCCTGGGTTTGTCTGCAAAGGGGGAAGAGGGCTCCTCCCGATTCAGAATCGCCTTGACGTTATTTCAGAAATATGCCAATTCAAGTCCTACCCTATGTAAGTGCTACTGTTTAAATGCCATGAAAATCCATCGCTCTCTTCAAGAGCTGGTGATCGCAATGACTCATGCCCCTGTCTTTCTGGAAACTGAGGCCCCTCCCATATGCATCTCCTGGTTCTGTGACTTGACCATGCAGGTCTGAGGTATCTCAGTGCATTTCCATGGAAACAACACAACGCAGGAACCCAAAGTCCATAAACGAACAAAATAATAAAACTGCATTAATTCTCTGTACGGACTAAGAAGGGCAGGAGCTGACACATGATTCCCAAGGGATTGAGCGGTCTCCTCAGCTCCATTGCTGGCCTTGGGTGAGGTTCCATCTTGGGCATGTGACGTTTGGGTCAGCACCGAGTCACCACTTACTAGGTTAAGCTGTAACTCTGAAGAAGGGAGCTAAACCTTCTCCACTCGCTAACAGTTTTCTATGAAATCTCAAATGATAAAAAAGTCCCTATTTGTCTCACTGCCTCACATGCTTTTCCTTGTATGCTGCTGATCTATCAGTTCAGGCAGCTTGTCGTCTCTATGACAGGCCATGTGTTCAGCCATGGTTTTCAAATGTGGACAGGTGACTTGCAGATCTCCACCGCACTCACACCATTTAGTGTAAGGCTTAGCAAAACCCGCACACTTCATATCATGTAGCTAATCACAAAGCTCTATTTTGGGGCAAACAAATCTATTTTACAGCATTAGCTAGAGTCTGATCCCCCTAAAGCAGGGGTCAGCAACGTTCGGCATGCGGCTCGCCAGGGTAAGCACCCTAGCGGGCCGGGCCAGTTTATTTACCTGCTGACATGGCAGGTTCGGCCAATCGCAGCCCCCACTCGCCGCGGTTTGCCGTCCCGGGCCAATGGGGGCGGTGGGAAGCGGCGCGGGCCGAGGGATGTGCTGGCCGCGGCTTCCCGCTGTCCCCATTGGCCCGGGACAGCGAACTGCGGCGAGTGGGGGCCGCGATCGGCCGAACCTGCCGCGTCAGCAGGTAAATAAACTGGCCCGGCCCACTAGGGTGCTTACCCTGGCGAGCCGCGTGCCGAACGCTGCCGACCCCTGCCCTAAAGTGTCATCCTGACTCCAACTTATTGAATAAATTGTTCCCATGAAATAGCTCATATTTCAAGTGCCAGCAGTTTTTGCAAACCATAGCTTGGCATTTCTGTTATCAGCCCTACAGACTTGCAGATGTGAGCATATTATTATAACAAACAAATGACTGGAAAAATCCACTTGCTCCCAGCGAGAGCAAAGATTTTCTTGGCCAGTGAAAGGGCCCAAACTAGCAACTTCTGGAGAATTTAATACAGACCTAACTTTCCTGAACAGCTCTTAGGATATTATGATGCTGGGTATTACAGGAAACCCTAAGAATGACAGATTCCAGGGGGAGAAAATAGCATTCAGGTGTCTCTGAAGAGACAAAAAGTTCCTTCTCCCTGCCAGCCACTAGAAGGGTGTGGGGAGTCACATTTATTGGGTACTATCATCCATAGGCTGACACCAAAAATGGAGCAGCTGAGCAGGTTCTAGAGACAGTATCCTGGGAGAAATGCCATCTGCAGAAGCTGGGATTGCACAGTAGGTGTTTTCACCTTTACATTTAATTCCAGATATAATGTGTCTGCTAATTTTTTGACTGGATATACATTCCCGGGACACGAATGCTCCCATTCTGAACAAAGTTCAGTGTACTCCCTTACTAAAAGTCACTCTCCCCTTCTTCACGTGGGGAGCCCCTGTTTGTCCAGGAAGTTTCTGCACATTGTTTTCAATCTATTTATGATCTACCTCATTCTTGACTCTAGTGTGTAGTACAGTCACCTGCACGATCTAATCTTTATTTCCTGCTAGTGTAACCAATACAACCAACTGTAGAAATGACACTACAATAGCTTCTTTGTACGTAACCTTATTCCATAAAACTCAACAAACAGATCATTAAAAAAAGGATTTGGGAGTTTCGCACCAATGATGTTGAATTTGCTGAAAAGTTATTAAGGTTCTAAGAAGCCCTATTCTCTGTGTTCTGCCATCCACAAATCAAAGCTTTGAGGTGATATTATGGGCAATAATTTTCGAACGTGGGACCCCACAGTTAGGTATCTAAGTACACCTCTACCCCGATATAACGCAACCCGATATAACATGAATTCGGATATACTGCGGTAAAGCAGCGCCCCGGGGGGGGCGGGGCTGCATACTCCAGCGGATCAAAGCAAGTTCGATATAATGCGGTTTCACCTATAACGCAGTAAGATTTTTTGGCTCCCGAGGACAGCGTTATATCGGGGTAGAGGTGTATATATAGGTATCTAGAAACAGCTGGATTTTCTGAAGTGCAGTGTCAGGAATAACAACATCTGGTTTAGTCAAATTCAACATATTGGCCTACCTGATAAACAATCACACCCTGCTGCTATTGAAATCAATGGGTAGAGCCCTGCAAATCTGTAGATATCCGTGAACCACGTTTGCAGATCACGGATCGGATGCGGATACATATTTTGTATCCACGCAGGGCTCTATCAATGGGAACTGCAGGAACTCAACACCTCTGAAAATCAGGCCACTTAGTTCGGTGCTAAATTTGAAAATTTTGGCCTGGGTATTTTGCCACCGACTCCAACGGGAGTAAATTGGTCCCATAGGCAGGCTCAGATCCTGAGGATTATATTCGGCTTGTTTCACTGAAGTAGGTGCCCCTGTCTCAAGCAAGGTAATCCAGCAGTCCAAAGCATTTCCATAATCTGAGCTGTCACTTGAAAAATTTTTACCAGCAGCTTTTCACATAAAGTGCCCTTTGTTGTCTTGAAAGGTGCTGTAGTTTATATAATGACTTCAGCAATCCTATTTAAAAAGTAAAATAATAATCCTACATTAAAGCTCCACAGCTGTAAAACACTAGAGTGTTCCCTACCGGTGGAAAAGCAAACACAGGCATGCTAGCTTCACATTCGCCTCAATGCTAAAATATAGATGCTTGGAACTGCCAACCAGCAGAACGGCTTAAATCCTTGGAACCCTCAAATGCACCTGAGCCATCTCATTGACCCAGTGGGGTTGCATCGGTGCAAAGGAAGACACAATTTAGCTTTTAGTTTCTGAGTCTCATTCCCCAAGAAAAAAGGAGCGGGAATGATTAGAAGGGAGGAAGCAGGGACCTCGGATGCTGGAGGGATGGACTGTCTTGCATCACACAACAATACCTGAGTAGCATTGAGGGGCTCTGTACTATCTCTCACCGTATTATTTGTTAAGAGCTGACAGCATGCTCAGAGCTGTATAGATCATGGAGGAAATCCCAACCAGTTTACAGTAAAAGGCTCAAGGCCTGCAACTGGGTTGGCCTGGGCAGACTTTCTGACCACGTGGAGACTCACTGAAATCAGTGTGGTCTACGTGGCAGCAAAGATCTGCCCACATGGATCCGATTGCAAGATTAGGATATAATAGACATACACTAAACAATATTACAGACACACAGAGCACAAGGTGACCATATGATGGATTCAATGCAAAGCAGGGGAGCATATTTAACAAACAAAATTACAACCAGATAATATATTCTTCTTCATGATCATTAAATAATACCTCCAGATTGCCTAGCATTGGGCTTGACTCTGCAAAACCTTACTCATGTAAGTAATCTTTAATCACAAGGGCCCCAGTCCAGGAAAGCACTTTAGCATGTGTGTAAGTCCCTTTCTATTTAGGAAACTATTTAAATACATTTGTAACTTTAAGATGGTGTAAACTTCAGTGGGATTGAGCACTTTCTTAAATTGGGGTGCTGTCCTGAAACGTGGCCATAAAAGCGCTCTGCTGGTGTCAATAGAATGAGGGAGATTTTATTTAGGTTTCCCTGATTTAGTCTTTAGGAGGAAAGGCACAATAAGGTTAATGGATGTCTTTGATAAGAGAATAGTTATGCCTTTTTCAATGATAAAACAAAAGCACTGCTGTCAATTTCTATCGCTCAGCTATTACCGGATGTGGAGAAATGCAAAGACTGACACACCGTATGAGACCAACAGACCGTTTAGTCCACTATCCTCTTTCTAGCAGTCTCAGATGCTTCAGAGGAAAGTGAAAAAACCTCAGAAATGGGCAATTATATAATAAACTGCCATTAAGGGAAATGTCTTTGTAACCTCAGGCAGTTAGTGATTGGTTTATCCCTTCAACCATGCGGGTTGTATCCCTTATATTTTTTTAATCTTATCTAATGTAACTGTGGATGCTCTTACTATTCATACCAATGCCTTATTATTCCTGTAAATGCAGTTTGGACAAACGAATTAAAGGAACTTCAAATGGGTATTTTGGAAATTCTAATTTATACAGCTTTTAGAATAGCAGTCACAAGAGTTATTTCAGAGGGGTAGCCGTGTTAGTCTGAATCTGTAAAAAGCAACAGAGGGTCCTGTGGCACCTTTAAGACTCTTAAAGGTGCCACAGGACCCTCTAAGAGTTATTTCAGATGCTGACAGAAAAATGCAATGCAACATTAAAAACATCTTATCCAGATGAAGATTGTAATTTGCTATAACACCACCTAACTCTTATCTTTCATCAGTAGATCTCAAAGTTCCTCACAACCTTTTTAGTGTATTTGTTATCCTCACAACACCCCTACATGGCAGGGACGTGTCATGAGCCTCATTTGTAAACTGAGGTACAGAGAGGCTAAGTGATTTGCCCAAGGTCACACAGGAAGCCTGTGGCAGAACAGGGAACTGAACCTGGGTCTCTCAAGTCAGTGCCCTAACCACTAGACCATCCTTCCTCTCGAAAAGCTGGTTAAGGCCATAATCTTGAAAACATTTATGAACATAAGCAGCTTTACGCACATGAGTTCTCTCATTAACTTCCACTGGACTACTCATATAAGTCACACACACGTTTAAGTGCTTGCATAATCTAGGTCCACGACGCAGAAGCACACAATAAACATTTACTTTTCAGAATGGATTATACATCGACATAAAACATACAAATATAATGTAGAATTCCGCTGCAGAGCCATATACTTAATGTAAACCACAGAGTACTGGAATCAGGACAGTACCTGGAAAATCTCAGCTTTCTTTAAAAAAAAAAAAAAAGTTTTTGCTAGTACTCATGCTTGCAGAAAAAAGCTTAAAAACACACAGCATCCTAAAGACCTGACAGTGATTACACCCCTCTACTGCCTTCCCCAGAAAGTCACCTTCAAGGCTCTGTACAACTCAGCTCTTGCTGTCTCTGTTCGCATCTCACTGTACTCCCCCTTCACTCTGCCCACACCTAAGAAGCCCTAAAGGTTCAAAAACACAAGAGGCAAATAAAAACAATCCAAAGTCTATTTTATTTAAAAACTCATTATTTTAAAGACAAACTCATGATTTTTGCAGCTTGACTCACAAAATCTGAACATTTGGGGTTGACAGTATTGGTATTATTTTATTGGGAACTCATGCAAAGCTCACTGATCTCACTGGTCTTTAGATCAGGCCTTTTTTTCCATTCGGGGTGCACAAAGGGCCAGCAAAAGGCCAACGAACACTTACATCTAATTTAAACCCTCAGAATAGGGATCAAGTGGGATTTACATGGTGCATAGACCTTTCGTAGATTTTAAGGCCAGAATGGACCATTATGATAATCTAGTCTGACCTCATGTATAGCTCAGGCCACAGTACTTCACCCATTGAAGCTGTATCAAGCCTATAACTGCCTGTTCAAGCTAGATCAAGTTTTTAGAAAGATGGCTAATCTTGATTTAAAAAATTAAATGATGGAAAATCTACTACATCCCATGGTAAATTGTTCCAATGATTACCGTAATTACCCTCTCTGTTAAAGATGTATGCCTTATTCCAAGTCTGAATTTGTCTATCTTCAGCTTTGTGCTGGTCCTCAGAGGAGTGAATTTCACTTTCAGAGATCAACCAGAGACATTTAAGACAATAGGGGACCCATACTGATCTTAAATTGGATATAATTTAATATTATAGTATCATGGAGTAGCCGTGTTAGTCTGTATCCACAAAAACAACAAGGAGTCCGGTGGCACCTTAAAGACTAGCAGATTTATTTGGGCATAAGCTTTCATGGGTAAAAAACTCACTTCTTCAGATGCAAGAAGTAGTAGTGGGTTTTCTACCCACGAAAGCTTATGCCCAAGTAAATCTGTTAGTGTTTAAGGTGCCACCGGACTCCTCGTTTTTGTTTGTTTATTATAGTGTTTCCTGTGTAGTTCTGTGAGTGCTTTTTATTTGAGTAAAATAAGTGTAAATATTGTTTTAGATAAGATGTTAGAAAATAATATTTAATAACAAAACAAAACACACAGCACTTCCCTGGGGAGGAAATTGACATGAAGGAAACTTATTTTCGGGAGGGAGGTAAAAAGGAGTAGATGCCTGCTACAGGAGGCCAGGGAGGGAAGCACTAGCAGATTAATAGAAAGGGAGACGTTAGGTATGAGGCATGGGACGAGCGAAGGGAGAGTAGAGATGAGAGCAGAGACCAAGGCTCTGCACCGTTCTGCTCTAAAGTGTCTTGAAGGGAAGGTAGCAGGGAGCCAGACGGAGTGACAGGCAGCGGCCGTGTTTCAGTAAGATTCCAGGGGAGAAAGCACTTCTTATTAAAGCATGAAGATGGTTAAACGTGGAGCCGTACTGTGGGACACAGTAAAGCAGATGGTGGATCTCTGAGTGGGGAATGTATCAGTGCAAATACAATTCTTACCCCATGAATCCTAAACACCCAGATGGATAAGATTGCTTATACACAGGATTAGATCCAGAAACCAGATCCACCCAGGGTGCAGGAAGGCTCTTGTGTGCATGTGACCTGTTATCACCCACTGAACAGGTGCAAGGCTGGGGGTGATATGGAGTGAGGGTCCCATTTCCTCCATTCCCCCCCCCCACACACACACACCTCTTTCCAAAAACTTTTTACACTCACGCTGAATTCCCCGTCCAGGCTCCTGCTCCGACAGCAGCAGCTCCCCTGTGGCCCCCTAGGGTAACTAGCCGGGGGCAGCAGAGTGCACGGTTCCCCAAAGGGCTCAGACTCGGGGGGGCGGCTCCAGGACCCCCCCCCCCCTTTGGGCATGGGGGGGGGGGGGGGCAGCGAAGCCCTGTCTGAACCTGAGCCCCAATGTGGGGGGCGGGGGAGCCACCTCTGGATCTAGGCGCGTGAGGGCAACTCCCCGCCCTGATCCGCCTCCCCGGGGAGGGGAGCCCCCCTGCTCGGACCCCAGTGAGGGGGGCTCCCCCTGGACCCCGGGCTGGGGGAACCCGCCCCCCACGCATGTCCGGGTCCGAGCCAGGCAGAAACGACCCATCCCTTGTCCTACCGTGCGTCTCCACCCGCAAACCGTCAGGGAGGCACCGTGCTAAGCCGCCATCGCTTCCCCGCTCTCCCGTCTCCTCAGGCCGGCTCGGTGCTCAACCCCACCCCGAGGCTCAGGGACGCCGAGAGGGCCCGAGTTACGCAGATCGCGTAGGGGGAGCTATTGCCAAACGGTGAATGCGGCGGCTGCCTGACGTAGCCAGCGCGGAGGAGCGAAACGGCTACGCAAAGTGCGTAACGGGAGCGGGGCGCTCCGGCTGGACTTTGAGCTCCAGCTCGGCCGTGTGGCTGGGCCCTTGTCAGGAGGTGGCTTGCTCCAGGCAGGGCCGGGCCCATTAAACACCATCGTAGTAGCATGAGATCACCACACAACTCTCCATAGCCTAGAACAGGGGGCTCCTAGCCTGACTCTCAGTTTCAGGTACATGTGGAGCCAGACACCTCAGTGGGCCCCCCCCTCGCTCTAACTCAGATGGGCCAGGATCCTCCCAGCCAGCCTTAATCTTCGTTTGGATAAATTAAATAGTTACAGCTTCTTAAGTCTTTCATTACAGGGCATGTTTTCCAGACCACAAAACGTTCTTGTAGCTCTTGTCTGAACCCTTTATAATTTTTCAACCTTCTTTTTGGTGTGTGGACACCAGAACTGGACTTACTGAGTCCAGTAGTCTTACTAATGCAGTATTCAGAGATAATCCCTCCTCCCCACTCCTACTTGGCATTCCTCTTTTTATGCATCCAAGGATTGCGTAAGTCGTCTTAGCTATAGCATCATAGTGGGAGCTCATGTTCAATTGGTTATCTACCATGATCCCCAAGTCTTTTTCAGTGTCACTGCATTCCAGGGTACAGTTCCCCATCATCTTTGTTCCTAGATGTAAGATCTTGCATCTGGCTTTATTAAAACTCATGTTGTTCAATGAGCCCACCCAACCAAGTGGTCCTGATTGGTCAGTATTGTCCTACTTGGCCACATGCCAAACATATGTGTCATGCATCCCAAGGGTATAACTGCCTATGGGCCAGAGTACAGTACTAGAATCCGGGTGTTTTCTAGGCCTACATCCTCCTGGGACACTGACTCATTTTGTGGTTTGTGGAAGGCAATTTTAACGTCACTTCCTCAATTCCCTGTCGGTAAAGTGGGGATGATCATATTTATTTGTCTATCTCATGGGTGCGTTGTCAGGATTACTCAGGGTTTGTAAGCGCTGAATATGAAAAGTGCTATGTAAATGCCAATGCCTCCTGATATCTATCAACTTTCATTCCTTTTCAGAGGCTGGACACCACTGCTGACCCATCTGCTTTTACCATGCTTTTTTCATTGTTCAATTCTTCTCCATGGCATTGTCTCCTGCTTTGGCTGTGGGATTTCACTGTGCCAGGGTTCTGTGGCTTTGAGTTCCTGCGAAGCTCATTATAAAATACCTTTTTTTCAATCAGTGTGACACATATTTCTTGGCCTGGCAAATGTTAACACCCTCTGAGAAAGAGAAAGGGAGAGAGGAGTATATATTACTCAGTACAGACTCACATTTTCTGGGTTTCTGTATTGAGATTGCAGCCTCGAAATCAAAGATGACTGACCTAGAGTGCATTTCTTATATAATACAACTCAGAGCCTTTGTACAGTCATTATTCTTGAGATTAAAGTTGGATAAGGAAATTTAAAACCTAAGAGGATCATTTAAAACAACAGTGTCAAAACTTTTTTAATAATCAGGGGCCACAATGACAATTTATCAGAAGCCCAGGGGCTGTATCAAGAGACAGATTGTGACCACCCTCATCCTTCAGCCAGAGGTAAAGCCAACAGGAGGGATAGCTCAGTGGTTTGAGCATTGGCCTGCTAAACCCAGGGTTGTGAGTTCAATCTTTGAGGGGGTGATTGGGGACAAAAATCTGTCTGGGGATTGGTCCTATTTTGAGCAGCAGGTTGGACTAGATGATCTCCTGAGGTCCCTTCCAACCCTGATATTCTGTGAAGACTGAACTGTCCCATCTTGATCTAACTTGTCTTTTTTCCCCCAGCTCTCAAATTATCTACTGACAGATCTTTACAATTGCAAATGGGTAATTGAAAATCTGCAATAAACCCCTGATTTACATATTTCCTCAGTGAATAATTCTTGGTCTTCAGAAGATTCACAGTTAGTTATGAATATCCCAAACTTGCAACTGGTCTGTGGTGGGTCATTACACAATTCATGTGGTAAATCAAATGCTTTCTGTTCCTTGACTAGAGGAATCAGATAACTCACCAACATAGCATGAATTGTGAATTATAAACTCAAACATGTCACTTTTGGTGAATATAGAACATTCAGTCTTAAAATGTATTTGTGATGAGTATTAGTGCTCGTAAAACTTAGGTGCTCAAATGGCAGTAAGACATGACAAGAGGATCATAGAAATGTAGGGCTGTAAGGGACCTCAGGAGTCATCTAGTTCATGAATTTGGCTGAATCAAAATTTGCTTTTGAAACTGAACAAATATTTGAAGCTTTTTTAAAAATAGGCCCAAATGCAAAGTTTGGATGCAGAGCCACAAACTTGAAGCATTCAGAATGAGGATTTTGGTCCAGTCCATTATATAACTTGATGCAAGCTGCAAAAAACTGGATCTGTATTTCACCAAAATTTAGGAGTGTTCTGCTCTGAGATTTTTGCTTGAGCGCATCTCTAGGCAAAACCATATATTAAAGTACATAAGGCACAATACCTTTACATACAGGTGGCTAAAGTGACTCCCAGAGGCCAAATACAGGCCAACCACAGTGTAATCCAGGGTAGCCTTGAACTGAGTGAAGGGCCACTCAGGAGCCAGTTAACCAATATTAACCGTTAACCCCCGGCCGGCCCCTGGCCCCCAGCCCCGATCGCACCCCAACCCCAGACCCGCCCCCCGGCCGGACCCCGGGCCCGGCCAGACCCCGACCCACCCCCCCCGGGCCGGACCCCAGCCGAGCAGTGCTGGCCCCCAGCCGTGCCACGCAACACCAGACCCTGGCCACACAGCATTGGATCCTGGCCCCGCTGGCCGGACCCCAGCCCCGGCCGTGCCCTGGCGGCCGGCCAGCTGACCCCTGCCTCGTGGCCGGCCGACCAACCGCAGCCCCCGCCTCGCCGGCCACAGCAACCCCAGCCCCTCTCCTTTTAATCGGTCAACCATTTAAACGATAGAATTTTAATCATTTAAATGGTTAACTTTTTAAACAATATTTACATCCCTAGTTTATAAACATAAGTTATAGCTGGGGATGTTGTAAGTGAAGAAAACAGAATGGAATGATTGTTGCAACTGAGTATTATCGGATGTTATAAACTTTAGGGACATTATAATATGGTTTTATTGTACTAAAATAAAGAAAACCAACCTAATTACAGTATGATTTGAAGTTGGGTAAATAACATAAAATTAGGCTTCTGTACTTAGCAGTGCCTTACACCTCTACTGTAGTTGGCAAGAGAACAGGCTGATGTCAAGTGGACTTATGCTGCAGTAATTCCTCTACAAATAGCTTAACTCTGGTGCAGTCTGCAAAAGCCAGAGATTGCTTTTTATGAACTAGTCCACTGATGGCTATAAAGGCAAATAGTTGTGTGCAATTATTACTTTAGAAATAGGAGTCTGACACAAGGTTGTCCCTGTTGATTGGTGGGTTGCAAAGTGGGTAGTTAGTTACTGAAGTGGAACATGAAAGCAGCAGTGTAATTATGATGACATAAAAAGGACTGCGGTGGGAAACACATTTTAACCCAGGGAAGAAACCTTCTGATAAGTCACAAGTATGACACTACAGGTAGTTGTCAAAATCAACTAATCAGAACAAGGGACCAGATCTGATGGTGTGAATCAGCACTGAAATTAATGGAGTTACATTTATTTATACAAGCTGTAGATCAGCTCCAAGATGATTACAGCTCATTTGGCTCTTCTTCTGGCGGGATAAGAAGCAGGGGGGAAGAAGAAATAGAAGATGAGAGAAGAGTGGATAATTTAATATATGAAAGATCAACCAGGCAAATTTGAATTCTCAGACTCAAGATTCTGCTGCCTACACAAACTACTTAAACTTAACTGTCAGGTCTTATCATGCCCTTAGAATCTCTTGATGGGATTTGAGTTCTGAAGTCACAGTTGCAAGATATTTATTCTGCATGTAATTTGCACCTTATTACCACCTCAACACTTTTCTCATTAATAACCTCTCTCCCTGTCAGGCTGAAGCCTGTTGCCTAATCATTATGCTAATTCAGAAACAAGAGAGACTGAAAGCTAGGAAGAGCAAAAAATTCTCAGGAATTCTAACTAAGAAGAGCTGAAATTCTCCTAAAAAGGGAAAAAATTGGTATGATACATAATGAGCGCAAGAAAGTCCTATTGTCTTGTACAGTATGAATAGAAAGTTTATTTGTCCTTTGCTCTAAAAACCTAGTTGTTCACTGTTGCAAATATTTATTTGCACACTGGAGCGTGTTTCTCCAGGTGCGATTTAGCAGCAGTTGTGAAATGAGTCAAGCTCCTAGGGCCCAATCCACCTCCCACTGAAATTAGTTGAAAGATTCCCGTTCCCTCCAATGGGCTTGTGATCAAACCCATTGTCAGCAGTCTTCTCAAGGACTGAAGAGACATCTAAGCTGAACTACCTCTTATCCGATAGATCTCTAGGCCCTTCAAAAAGCAACAGAGGGTCCTGTGGCACCTTTAAGACTAACAGAAGTATTGGAGCATAAGCTTTCATGGGTGAATGCCCACTTCATCAGACGCAAGTAATGATGAAGTGGGCATTCACCCACGAAAGCTTATGCTCCAATACTTCTGTTAGTCTTAAAGGTGCCACAGGACCCTCTGTTGCTTTTTACAGATTCAGACTAACATGGCTACCCCTCTCATACTAGGCCCTTCAAGTCAGGCTTGAAGTATATTGACACAAGGCAGTGGGAGGGAAACCAGTACTGCCTCTGCCTGTGATCATGTTCTGTGGATCCATAAAGAACAACATTCTCCAGGGCTGTCAGTCTCTTACTATTCAACTTGCTTTCTAACCTTCAAAGCATAAGAAAGGTTTCTATTTCTATTCCCACTAAATGGATTTTCAGCATCTACTGAAATAG